ACAGACAGAAATACAGATATTTTTTTTAATTCTATTACCCTTAATAAGACTCAAGCGTGGCAACTACTGGCAAAACTCTCCTTACGGCGGAGGCCTATGTTCATCAGTGTACAGTTAATGGCTGACATCATAATAACAACAATAAAGTAGAAATAAAATAAAATACAACATTATATTTACTTCATTTCATAATGATGATGATCATGTATTCAAAACATACCCGGCCATTGGAATACTTAAGCAATTTCTGAATTCCTGCTTCAGTTGTGCTGATACTAATATTTTATTGTAGATACAAGATGCAGTTACTGGATTAAAAGAGAAACAATTACTAATTTAAGTACAATTAATTTTGATATTATTGGACGTGATGGAATTTTCTTTTTTATGAAATGGTAACCCCACTTTATACTTAATTACTTAATATTACTATATATGGTATATTGGCAAAAATATTGGTAATGGACAAAGCATATTTGCTAGCAATGGTACTAACAATAAACTCTTAAAACTTAGCGATAAAAATGGTAACACCTCCTGCGCTATCAGTTTACGCTGGCGAGGTATCAGTGAGTTTTTTAATGAATGATAATGGAACGGCAACCCTGCCTGCGCCAACGGTATACGTTAGCAGGGCACCAGTGAGGGATGATAGGTGAGAATGAAAAGGCAGGTCAGTTAGCTCGATGTGATGGATACACCTAGATTTCAGCACGATGGCTTCCAGGGGGGGACCATGTAGAGCTCGATCTGACAGGGTATATTGCTATCAATGGGCACTGGTAGTCCGTATTACTAACAATCCCTCCCCCTCCCCGTAACAGTGAGAATTTATAAATAGATTTTATAAATATTTAGTAAATAGAGGTCAACTTGATAGGATATATTGCTAGCAATAGGGCTGTTACATCCTAATATATGTTAACAATCCCTTTTTCTCGGTACTGAGATATCGCCTCCAAATTTAGTTATATCAAGTGGTGGAAGGAATTGTTATTAAAGGGACTAGTATAACTTGCATAAATAGAGATAAACAAAGTATTACATGAGACTAAAAATAAATAACTATAAACGTAAATAAACAATACTCTTTGCCCTAATACAATTATAGTATAAATTGAATGCAAAATATTTAATGAGAAATTGTATTTAATTGTGCTATGAGAAATTAAAGGGTATTTTATTTTATTTTTATGCATCAGACGAAGTATTGATAAATTTACAACTTACCAAGAATAATAATATTGTACTTTATTATATGCACATTTGAATTAAATTTTCTATAGAATTTATTCATATTTTATATCAATTATTAATTCAATTACATACTCGTAAATAAGTGTATTTATTAACGAATTTTTATTTGAATACAATTAATATTATCGTATATTTTTAAATGACAATAAAAGAACTCATTTCAAAGTTTACGAACTGTTAAATTAAAATTGCGCCATTAACCCTTCGAATCGTCATCGAGAAAGAATTTAAGATGCGAACAATCGTAAAAATACACTTCGAAAATGCCAGATTTCCAAATGTTAAACAAAATTAATCCCTTCCCAAAAGTTTAATGGGAAAGAATTTAAAATTAGAATTTGTTATATTTTTAAATTTCTCTGATACCTAACCTGAAAATGTATTTTAAAAATAAAAATAAACAACTACATATTATAAGTTATGTACTAACAAACATACTTTAGAGAGTAGGCTATTAAAATTGTGTTATGCATAAGTTCCGGCTGTGAAATGAGCTCCTGCCGAGGCTTTTTTCTAGAGACTACAGCATGGGGTTTTTCGAAACACATTTATTAAGGTTTCTTCAAGGTTAGCAACGTGTACTTGATATTTCTGGCGTTGTAGGCGTCCATGGGCTATAATGGCTGTTTACTATCAGACGAGTAATATGTTTGTCACTTTGGTATAAAAAAAATCACATCACAATAACTTTACAATTATCCAAACTATACTCTTTATTCGACTTGGTTATTTTTTGACTTGTCTCAATCTATTTATGGGTTTCTCATAATATTATTATCAAACTTTGGTATTTATGATTTAAATTGACAATGCTACAATTTATGGACGTCACTTTACTTCAAGAATTGTTGTTTATATTGCTTTTAATAGTACCCTATTTATTTCTTTCTTTAACGGGTTTTTTTTTATACAACTTAGAATGGCAAACAAGCTGACGGCCCACCTGATGGAAAGTGGTAACCGTCGCCTATAGACGTTGCCATTCCTGAGGACTCAGGTATTATTCCTCTGTACCCTGTAAATTCACGCCATATCCCACCCTTCAAACTGAAACACAGCCATGCAAACACAACTGCTTCACGGTTGAAACACGAATGGGACAAAGGTACCCAAGCAAACGATTTTTGTACAAAGTCTTCCTTAAGTTCGACACGTATATCAACAACTACTAATAAAAGAATGAATGCATATAGTAAATGAAATTAGTAATCGGATCAAATCGGTCTCAAATGATTTGAAAGTCATTCGAATTAATTCGAATAAATCGACGTCGAATAATTAGTATTCAAATTAGTGTAGTCGCGCAAAGCTACGTTAACCGAATCTTTCGAGGTCTTATTATTTTTTAACAGACTGCGACCCCCTTTAATAACAAACGCGACCCCTCGGTTAAGAAACGTTGGATTAGAAAAATAGTACCATGGACAACACAATGCACTATTATGTCCAAGCCCCTCATGAGTTGCTATTCCTAATATTACCATATTATCTTTATATTATCTGTGACATGACCAAGGTGAAACGCCTCTGTATTGTCCTTTTGACTTCAAGTAAAACTTAAAAAAAGAATAATTTGAAATTTTAATTCAAATGATCGTAATTCATGTATTATGTACATATACGACTACATAACTAGTTGTATCTCTCGGTTCTGCCCATGAATGTTTCGTGATATCGAATAACCTATAATATTTTTCAAGAATAGTGGAGCCTATCAGATACAAAAGTTTTATAAATTAGTGCATTTAAACTAACAAATACTTTGATTTTATTATATAGAGCTAGTTTAGTCGGATATGTGTATATTTGTAAAAGAGAATGGTATCCGATGGATAAACGACGAAGGGGATGGTAACATTGTTAATAATGCAACTTCAAAAGGGTTCGAGCCCTACCCTGTTCGATTTAAAACATATTAACTTACCTTAAAGGGTCGAAAACAGTATAATACTTGCGTAGTTAATTTGTTCTTGTAAATATTTAATTAAATTACAATAACCGTATCACCGCATTCAACAGTTAAGTATTTTAGAAAATATGAGCAAAAATGCCGCCATATACGAGTACAGATACAGTTTTGAAGAATTTTAGGAAATGTAATCGAAAATTTATTTTTTCTTTCATTACTCTCTTCAAAGTTTGTGTAGGATAGATTGTATCAAAGATAAGACCGCCTATTTTACTTTTGTTTTATATTTTTTTTCTTTAAATACAATATCAGTATTTGTGTTAATAAATAAATCCTTAAGCCGTGTGGTGTCATAGGAGGCGGCTAAAAAAACTTAATAGTTGAGCAGTGTCCCTTTTAAAACATCACTAGTCGTAATACGGTTGCCAATCCGACTGCCAAGCATAGCAACTACTGAAAAATTGTAAGCACAATGGAGATTGGGGAATATAGAATTTCTCATATAGTCATTCGTGTAATCTCGGCTTAGAATAGGCTACTCCATCCTTTCCTTTGAGTGGAGGAGAGGGCTTCTTAGTAATGGAAACGTTAATCCCAATTGCTAACAATATACTCTATCAGGTCGACCTCCACTCGGTTCCCCCTGGAAACCATAGCCATTAATTCTTGTTGATTTCGTCACAATGGATTAACTTACATCTTCCACTCACTGCTGACCCGCCAGTGTATACCGATAGCGCAGGCGGGGTTACCATTCCATTATTATACCATCCATTATGATGATGTGACTGAAGATGTGCCATAAAGATGAGGTGACTAGTTCAACTTAACGCAGCAGCGTTCCTCTTAAAACATCTCTAAGTCTTACTGTAGTTCCTTACCCACCTACCAGGCGTGGCAACTACTGGCAAAACTCTCCTTATAGGGAAGGCATATGTTCAGCAGTGAACAATTAACGGCTGAAATGTTGATGATAATATACAGACATAATTATAATATGACTAAAGACCTACCCTGGCCTCGTACGTGTAATTAAGAAAAATAATATGTAGTCTATGTTAATCGCTGATAATATAGTTTATTACAGGTGAAAAAAATTTTAAAATTAATTAAGTAGTTTTTGAGTTTATATATTACAAACAAATAAACACACACACATTCAAACAAACATGTAAATTTTAAGATTGTGTTTCAGAAAAAATACATTTACTTATTTGTGGTAATATAAGTTATTTTGAATTTATTTTAAAAATTAACTACTAAACCGATTTTAATAAAATTTCTATGAAACTAATCTGCAAGTATATCCTTTAAGAAAAAAAAAGAGTTTTGAAATTGGTTCATAATTGACGGAGTTATGATGTAGCAAACATAACAAATACAGTTTTTTTTTATACAACTTAGAATGGCAAACAAGCTGACGGCTTACCTGATGGAAAGTGATAACCGTCGCCTATAGACATGAGCAGTACCATGGACATAACAGAGTATATTGTTTCGTCCATGATACCCCCTTGATGTTGAAATGAGTACCTCCTTATTTTTGAAGTCGGTTAAAAATATCAAACCTTATAATATCAGTGTAGATATTTAAGGCTGAAAGATAATATATTTTAGTTAGAAAAAATGTAAATTCCTTCCTAGATATTTTACCCTTTTTCATTGCTTACTTAATAAAATGTGTCATTAATCTGTATTAACATTTGAGGCATTTTCCAAAATATATAGGAATTTAATTACAGGGACATTCAGCATTCTTTCGGATTTAGGGCTAAATTTATCCAGGCTCTAGATATATATAAAAAATGGGAGGAATAATGAAATACCTAAGCAGTCGATTTAGTTAACGATTTATTTATAAAAAAACAAAGTCGTTTTTTTTTCTATAAAATATTGGTACCATACGTTCTGGGCTCAAAAACGTATAGTACAATATTAAGACCTACAATTATGCATAATTATATATTATAATATAATCTTACATCTATAGAAATTATTCAAACTTACGCATATATTACATTATTAACATGAAAAATTAACAAAGGAACTTTTTACACCGTATTAACAAAACTTTAGTCATTTCCAATTGACACTGTAAGTTCATATGTTTTGCATTTCAACACTGCTACTTTCCTGCTATTTAAAGCAAGTCTTTAGTCAGAAAATCTGGGAGCATTGGGATGTTTTCGTGTTTGCGGTCACTGTGTGTTCTAACTGCAGCGCCGTCAACTCTGTCTCCATCTTTCTGCTCTTAATCCTCATATTATTCTTCAGTTGTCCCTTCTTACGACAGCAGCATAGGATCTCTTCGAATTCCTTTCTAAAGTTATCATTCAACCATCCATATAGTAGAGGGTTGGACACTGCACTCGACATACCGAACATATGGCATATTGCGTACGTTATTGTCATTGGTTTCTCGTCCAAAATGGGTTCCGGGCTGAAATCTGCTACTAAATTAAACACATTCAACGGCAACCAACTAATAACGTATGTGACCGCTATTGCTATCAAGATTGCCGGAGTTTTTCTAGTCGTCCGTCTTCTCCCACGCAACCTCCGATGAATCTGCACGTGCGCAATTACTACCACTAATACGGGGAGTAAGTATTGAAAGATCAAACTGAATACAGAGTAGATAGCTCTTCCGTTGTCTATCGGCCAGTCTTCTATGCAAAAACTTATGGAATCCATTCCTATGAAGCCTAGTTTGTGAGTCTTTAGGCTTCTAAATATGAAGAGGGGTGATGCAAGTGTAAAGGCTGTTAACCAAATGAAGAACATTGTAATTAATGCACCCATGGTTTGGAGTCCTGGTCGCGTTGGATAGACGATAAGCTGTGAACAAAATAAAATTAACACTATTAAAACAATTGACATGATAAAATTTCAATTATTAATTCTAACTAAATATATATTAATACAATCAAATTGTAACTGGACATTATCTGTACATGGAAGATATTTAAGAAAAAATGATATAAGGGTTCTTAATAAGAGTAATAAAAGCCAATATCTTACATGGGGAACTGTATACGTTTTTATAATAAACTTCCAGATGACGTTTTACATTTAAATGAAAGAAAATTTAAAACATATATAAAAAGGACTCTCTGTACAAAAGCATATTATAAATTAAATGACTATTTAAATGACAAAACTGCATGGATTTGAATTTTGTATTATTGTGAATTGTATTGTAAATGTAATTATTGTATTTTTTCTTAAATCAATATTATTTTCTATAGTAATTATTATAATTATAGATTGACGTATCATAAGTATCTGTAACAGATGTATATGAATAAAGATGATTGATTGATTGAATAAAATTATATTTAAAATTTTTGTCAGTCTGTCTATCCATCCATACTCTTTGTAAGTTTATGCCGATATCACGCAAAAACTATTGCACCTAATTAGATGTGGTCTAAATTGAAATTTAATGTACGTTTTATCTTAATATGCCATCTAGAAATCATCTTTTTTCATTATTTTTCCTACTTCTAAAATTGATGAATTATTTATTTCTAAGGTTACAAATGTTATAAATTTACTTATTATAAACCTAGTATTATATTGATTTTCCGAGAATTCCATTATTTATCAGTTTATCATTGGACAGTTCTGTGTAATGAATAAATACCAGAGCACTACACAATTGATAACACCACTTAATAAAGACGATAACAATAGACTATAAAACATACAAAAATGCAATATCTAGCTCGAACGTGACATATTTAAAGCATGCCTGCTGATTGTTTTGATAATTTGAGTAATTTCCTGTTACGCGGAGTGCTTTTGGAATTTTAGTAGGGGCTTTTCAGATCAATGGGTACATGAAAATAATATTCTCATTTCTATAAGAGCAGCGTTTCTAAAGCTTCTGCGCTATGTACTTGTAAAACTTTTTTATTGAACTGTTATTTTGCAGAAGTCCATATCTCTGATTAGTTGATTAGATTAATTTTTTGTATATCCGTTACAGTTAGTATACGTGCGACTGTTATTATTTGGGGACTGATTACTATCAGTAGAAGATATACAACCTTCAATATTATTAAATATGAGTTGTATATAGAAATAAAAGTGTTTTCTATTAAAGTCCGCTTAATTATAAGCATTTCTGAATAGTATTTTTTTTTTGTCAATCTACTGTCAGGATTGGAACGCAATTTCAGCTGAGAAGATGAGCAAGGAACTCATTATTATGTCAATCATTCAAATCATAATAATAAAGATCATTATCATATCAATGACTACTAATGTTGAGTTTTCGCAGAATGGAATTAGAATGACCTCTTTTCTCAAAAGAGGCGTTGAGGGATGGGCAGTAACGTCTCTTTAGAAACATTACCAAAAATCAAACTGCAGCTGCCAATCCGTTTGTCAAAGATGATTCTGAACAACTGAGAAAATCTTTTTCATAGTAAAAACACTCCTATTCCTTATGGCAATCTATGGGGATGCCTATATTCAGCAGTCGACAGATAATGATTAAAATGATGATGATGATGACTGAGTTTTCTTGGATTAAAATACAACTAACATTTAGGTGTAGGTTGTAGGTGACAAAAATTTATAATAAAAAAATACTCCTGATAAAATATAATGGGACCAACATTGTTAAAGATAAAATAACATTGATTACTGATGACATTTTTGACCGATCTATCAAAAGGCATTTGAGGTGAGTAAAAATCAATAAATTTGTTTCTATATATCTAATTACGATATCTGCTGAAATTGTATCAGAATAAATTATGTCTAGAATTAAATTAAAGAGATATACAAAAACTGTTTAGTCTTAAGTACATTATATCAGCTTGAGAGACAGTGGATTTTTTTTGGAGGATGCTTAACAGGCTTGTATTAGATATTTTATTGATCTAGGTATTATCTTGTGGAAGTCCGTAACACTTGTTACTTGTTTATAATTATTACCATTATTACTAACAGTACTTCCACAACCTTTTATAATAGCCATTAATTTCTGACTCCCATTTGGTTCATGCACGTTTTGCGACACGTGTTTCACCTCTAGACGAGGTATCTTCAGGCAAATTATTATATCGCTGCTCGAAGCCTAGTGTTAACCGTTCGGCATCTTTCATTACCTTTTTTAAAATTGTATTAAATAGATTGAGTGACATAATTTTTTATCTACGATAGTTTCTACTTTATATATAGGATGTATGGTTTACATTGTATTAAGGGCAGCGGAATCTGACGTAAAAATTTTCAAGATTTTTGTTGTACACCGAGGCAGTATCTAATTACTATCTTGGTGTACAACTATGATTTCTAAAACCATTCATTACCAATTATATTGGTTAATTTGAAAAACATTTTTTGTCCGCAACTTTGTCTAGATTTCAGATGTAGGAAAACCAATAAAATAAATCACTTATAGATGATGCTTTAAAATAAAACATACACCAGATTTTAAGTCAAATATTCCGAAATACAACTGTAAAAACTAAATCTAATTTGGTGCAGTAGTTTTTGCGTGATGCCGGAACAAACATATAAATAGACAGACAGAAAAAATAATTATTATCGTTTTGGAATCTATTAGTTTTATAAAGATCTCTCCTATTACTTTTTCTTAAATATTTTCATCGTCTAGTTACAGTTTAATTATATTAGTAAAATATACTCATAACATTTTATTCTATTATAGAAAATATCAAATTGAATAAACATATACCAAAAGCATCATGGTGGCAAATCCTATAAACCCTCTACTGTGTAAACATATGTACGATTATATACTGCAAAACGTAATTTGCTAACTGAATTATTAGTTTCTAAAATTCCATTAGGTACATTTCGAACATATTTGTTTATAAAATAACGCGAGAGCAGATGTACGGACAAATCTAATTACAGACATATTGAGACTTTAATAGTGTGTGTAAATAGTGTTTATTTGGACTGAGATGTTAACAAGATCCGGGAAAATGGTGTCTGGAAAATAAATTGTTCCTTCACATTATAACAGTTGAAACTGTAAAGATATTAATAGACGATTAAAGTTACAAGCGCCTAATTTAACTCTTTTGATTGTATTCGGATAGCAGATATTGTCGATGACTTTGTACAATAGACGTGTGCTTGTGAAGGTTCCTCTGATCCGTTGTGTTTTGGCTACGTAATATTTTTAACTTTATTGATTACTTTGACCAAGAATAGACTTGAAATATGTCGTCAGGAACTGTTAAAAGGCTTGGACTCGGCTAAATTAATTATGGTTAACTATGTATATATACATCTGTGTATGCTGGTTTCAGCTGCATTTTGGCTCCTTTATTTTGAATTAACGTATCATTTTCTCGTATAAATTGTACTATGCTTTTATGCAAACAAATCCTAATAACAAATTTGAATATAGGAATTTATGTTGCTGTATATATTTCAACATTATAAAGCGTTGGGTAATTAAAAATTAAATACTAATTAACATCAGAATCATAAATTGTAATTCCATAAAAACAATATTAACTTAAATTTCAATTAATATTTTATATGATACCTGAGAATGGCAAGCGTTATATACTTGTAACATATTAGCGTTTTTATATGCAATAGAAAATTACAAACAAGTTCACAGTCTACCTGATGGAATAAAGTAACAGTTGCCTATAGACATGAATTGAACCATAGAATTTTACTATGATACCCATCAAAACCCTCATGTTTTGTCATTTCTTAGGATTGTGGTGTTATTCCTTGTAACATACTGTATCTGTATACTAGCCGTGAATAGTCCACTACAAAACATAGGCCTCCCCTTATTGAGGATTTTGCGCGTAATTACCATGTTTGGCAGGCGAGTTAGAAACCGCAGCTAGATTTTAAAAGGGACGCTGATGTTCATCTCTCGATCATATAAATTCTGTGTTAGTCGCTTCTTAAAACTTGCACAGGAAAGAAAGAGGAAGCCCATTCTATACCGAAACCATAGCATCGCACTCTTACCACACCCATAGGAAAGAAAGTGGTGGCCCATTCTCTGCTAGAACTACATGGCGACCGCATACTCTGCATCCTATCCTTTAAACCAAAACACACCCATGTAAGCATAGATAACTTAAAATCAAAATAATTACCTGATATCTATCCAAGGCAATGGCAGTGATGGATATCGTTGAGACGAATATTGATATGGCTTGAATAGCTCCGCAAGCTTTACACAAGCTTGGCCAGTCTGGCAAAGGCCAATGTTTGGTCAAAAGTTCCATAAGCGTGAGAGGGGTACCAACACAGCAAACCAATGCATCAGAGACAGCGAGGTTGACTATAAACATGTTCCTTGCTGTTCTCATCACTGGCTTCCTTACTACCTGCAAGGATATACACAAAATAATGTAATTACAAATTATATTTTAGAAACAGCTTTAATTTTTTAGTGTTGGAGGGGTGGGAGATGTTATCCTATTCTTACTATGCTGGCTATCCGGCTTGGTACATTATTTTCTTAAGAGATTTTATTATGATATCCATTTGTTTAATTTTGTGATACTAAATCATAAAGATCTGTTAATAGCTGACTTTTGGTGAAAATAACATACAAATAATCGAAAAAGCTGACCTCAGTAACAGACGAAATTTCAGTATATGATAACGTACACTTAATCATAAAGTTTTAAATAGATTTTTTGGTACTTCAATGTAAATATAAACGTTTGAAAATTAATTAACTAGTACACCATGTTAATAATATACTAGCTATATCCAGCAGCTTCCTCCTCAATCTTACCCAAGAAGTGTGCTGTCAAATGTATAAAGAAATTTTCTAATCTGGTTGGTAGTTCCAGAGATTCAAACAAACAAACTCTTCTATTTTATTATTCCAAAAATAATACTTACCGATATAACAACAAGAGCATTTCCCACAGCACCGATAACTACCAGGATACCATAAAACGTAAGCAAGAGTGCTCTAGTCGGGTCATCGACTTTCCTGTTCTGGGAGAATTTTTCAAGAAGAACATTAGGTTGTTGGATGCCTTTAGACGCTTCTATGATCCATTTTGCAGAAACATTCAGTGTTAAATTCACGCTGGGATCCAGCATCTAGAACAATGAAAAATAAACTACGTTAATGGGTGATCATGCTATTAAATACATCTTAAGTAAAAGTTAACAATTTTGTAAATTACAGACTAGATTTATGTTTTTTTTTATACAACTTAGAATGGCAAACAAGCTGACGGCCCACCTGATTGAAAGTGGTAACCGTCGCCTATAGACATGAGCAGTACCATGGACTTAATAGAGTGTACTGTTTCGCCCATGATACCCCTCATGCGTTGCCATTCCTGAGGACTCAGGTGTTATACCTCTGTACCCTGTAAATTCACGCCATATCCCACACTTCAAACCGAAACACAGCCATGCAAATACAACTGCTCTACGGTTGAAACACGAATGGGACAGAGGAACCCAAGCAAATGACTTTTGTACAAAGTCTCCCTCTGGTGAAGAAAAAGTTAATAAATTTATTGTACAAATTACATGACAAATATTGTATAAATATTTTGCTCCACGAAAGAAACACCGAAAACAAAACTTAATTAAGCATAATTATTACCATAAACCAGTTATTTTGATTTAGAACCTATATATAAACTGTTGGCATTCAAGATAAAGTCTGAATAGATTTCGTATACAAGGAGATTTTCATATAAAAACTAGTCTTATTAAAAAAGTTTAAAAAATCTATATTAAACACTTGAAAAGTTAGCCCGTAGCTTCAGTTGAAAGAGTCAGGATAATTCATTTTCAAGACAGATAGTAGGTATCCATTACAACTTTTTTAAATTGACTTCAACTCTTTTAATTCTCAGGTAAAGTAAAAGTAACATTTTGTTTTAAATTTAAATAAGTAGTGACTGCAATCTTTTTAGAATTAATAATAATAATAATAAAAAATACAAATTATCAAAAACAGAACTGGTGATGATATCGGATAATATATAAAAAATATAACATATTGTTCTACAAAAATGCAGTTATTTTTATTTAAAAATTAGACTACTAAACCGTTTTTGATAAAAAAAAATCAAATTGGTTTATAAGTGACGAAGTCATAAAGTAACAAATAAAAAAAAATACAATCGAATTGAGTACATCCTTCTTTTTGAAGTCGATTGAACAAAATCTAATCTTGTCAAGGCAATTTCAACAGTATTTCCGTTAGGATACCTGATTGAATCCTTATAATTTTTTTTTTTTTTTTATAAGTATTCTTTTACTTGTCTGTTTATTTTTCTACTTCTAAATTAGGGTTACAACTTTAGTGAGTTTCAGATTTGGAAACAATAGGGTCGATCTCGAGGGGCCATTTCTCTAAACTTGTCTCTTAATCTAATATATTAATTTGATAGTTTCGCAACATTACTGTTTTATGAGCTATCATGACCAAACTTTATAATAATTTCGACATTAGAAATTTAGTTAATGTCAGATTTCGTTGTAATATTAAATTGAATTTTAGAGAAATTTAAAATGGTTTTGAATAAATTTGTTACAATCTACGATTATATATATTTTTTTTATTGGATGATAATGGAATGGCAGCCCCACCCGCGCTTCCGGTATACACTGGCGGGGCACCAGTGAAGGATGATAGGTGAGGATGAAGTAGGTCAGTTAGCCCATCGTGACGAATTCAACAAGAATTGTTCACGATGGTTTCTAGGGGGAACCACGTGGAGGTCGACCTAATAGGGCATATTGCTAGCAATGGGGCATTCAAACTCCATTGCTAACAATCCCTTTCCGATTATATTCTACGATTATATTATAGTACTGGACTAGAAAAAAATGTATTTCAATATATATATAATATGTCCTTTATAACTTGTAAACATAATTATCTTTTATAATAATAATATGAGATATTAATATTATTGTACCTATTCAATTGATATTAATTATTCCAATATAATATTGTAATATTAATACAGTATTGGTTCATTAACAATACTCAATATAATGTAACCAATTTAAGATAATATATGTATCATACATAATAGAAATGAAATAATAATCTTGATATAATAATCAATTGACTGGTATATTGAATATTGTATGTGTTGTTATTGTTAAAATGTTTATGAATATATTGAAACAACATAATAAAGTCAAGTAAATAAAAGTAGTTTTATGAACTAAACATTTACATGCCTATGTATGGCTACTAGTATAGTATTACCTGTGATATGGCGAAATATGTAGGTACTTATGCTTTGTATATAAAACATCTTGTATCTCAAGTTTCAAGTAAATAATAAATAAGTCCAACGCGTGTTTTTACTTCACTCGTTTTGTGTTAGAAATTATTTATTGATATACCCAATAGGTCACAGGAACGAAATTGTGGATATAAACAAATTAATAAAATAATTTCCTATTCAGATATTAAGATTTATTAATCACATATCTCACGTAATTATCGTATTTTTTCTGATATTTTACATATTAGCATATTGTAAAAGAGTTCCTTACAATGGATATTAGTACAAGTCACGTTCCCAACTTTACGATTTTATTAAGAGGGACCACTATATACCCAAATTGGTGAGTTAGTAAATTTAATTAATACAACGAGTTCGTGGGAATGAGTGGGTGCGAGGATGAAATCTGTGCTCTGAATACCTACCTTTCTGAAGGATAACGGGACTCATATACGCAGCCATTGCGAAAATGTTAATTTCATTCCACTTGCGAATACTTCTAAGTCTGAACTTTATTACCTACAGTTGTCTACATTACCTTTTTATAGAGATGCCTTTATTTGAATCTTTAAACATGTATTTTATGGGAGGAAGGGATTGTTAGTAATGCGGACTGCCAGTCCCATTGCTAGCAATACATTCTGTTAGGTCAATCTTCACGTGGTCCCCCTGGAAACCATCGTGTTGAATTCCAGGTGTATTCATTACGATAGGATAACTGACCTGCCTTTTAATTCTCATCTGTCATCCCTCGCTGGTGCCCGTCAGTGTATACCATTAGGTATGGTAAACCTGCCTGTGGGGATACCATTCTATTATCATCTATTAAAAAAAAATGTACTTTATGAGTTTATATAGTACATATGAACCTTCACTGAAAAAGCTAAATATTAATAAATAATAAAGTTTAAAAATCACATTTCAAAAGGGTAAACATTATATTTCTCTTAAAGCTCAAGCAGAGCAGTATCTCTATTTAACAACAGATGGCGTAATAAATCTGTTTCTAAACATGTAGGTATGGAATATAAAAATAATAGAGGTAGGTAGTATACGTGGGTATAGTTGGTGTCGTCTAATGGATGCTAATGGATTTTTTTTTTTTTTTTTTTTTTTTTTTTTTATACAACTTAGAATGGCAAACAAGCTGACGGCCCACCTGATGGAAAGTAGTGACCGTCGCCTATAGACATGAGCAGTACCATGGACATAACAGAGTATACTGTTTCGCCCATGATACCCCCATGCGCTGCCATTCCTGAGGACTCAGGTGTTATTCCTCTGTACCCAGTAAATTCACGCCATATCCCACTCTTCAAACCGAAACACAGCCATGCAAACACAACTGCTTCACGGTTGAAACACGAATGGGACAGAGGTACCCAAGCAATCGACTTTTGTACAAAGTCTCCCTCTGGTGACCCCGCCTGCATTATCGGTATATGTTTGTAGGGCGTCGATGAGGAATTTATAGGTCAGGATAAACGCTGGTCAGTTGGTTTGATTATGACGCATTATTAAAATTAATTACAATGGTTTCTGGAAGGAACCTCATGGAGGTCGACCTGGCAAGACAAATTGCTAGCAATAGGGCCGTTACCCCCCCTCCCAGTGGAACTAGTGAAGATTACTGTACTAAATCATCTTAATTAAATATTTCATTATAAACTGTCGCTTGCAAATTAGTTTCGAAATGCAGAGAAATTCATTTTAAAATTCTTACAGAGATTGAAAGTTACGGTGTAATTTTAAACGAATAGTTTTAAGTTCTTTCATTTACTACGCAGTAAAATTTAATAGAAAGTAGTTACTGTAAATACTATAAAACAAAGTCGTTATCTGCATTCATCTATTTATTTTACCTTTTCTGTAGCTCCGGAACGGATTTTGATACTTATTTATAATACTGTCTCTATTTCACGGCTTCGCCTACGTGATTTAGTATGTAATGTATACTGTGACCTAAGTTAGGATACAACCTATCCGTGTTCAAAAATTTCAATTAAATCCTTTTTTTGAGAAAGTAACTAACATCGAATAACCGTATAGGTCCCGGCATAGAATAGGCCTCCCTTTTCCGTGGGTGTCGTAAGAACTACGGAACTAAGGGAGCTTATGGTGGAGGAATGGGCAGCAGCGACCCTTTTAAAACGTCACCAAAAGCCAAACTGCGGTTGCCAACCCGTTTGCCAAACTTGGCAACTACTGAATAAACCCCCTTATGGGAAAAGCTATGTTCAGCAGTAGACAGTTAACAGTTGATACAATACAATACCACTAACATCCAAGCAGCTTCAGATTTTTTTGTATTTATATTAGTCCATCTATTTTTTATAGAAGGATTTGCTTTTATATATATTCCATTATAATAAAATTTTTGTATAAGTAGGTAAATTTAATATTTTGTAATAAATTGTAATCGTTTGTTAAAAGGATACTTAAAATTTCGATTTTATCCTCTATTGTTCTTATTGTTATTCTCAATCGCTGTTAAATTATACAATTAATTTAATACAAATCAGATATTTGACTTGCAATTTAGAATACAAAACAATCTATAACGAATACTTGATCTTCAGCAAGAATGTATAATTAAACAGTACTTTGCATTTTAATAATTACTCATCTAGATCTTTTATGGGAATGGGCATTAAATGTTTTAATAAGATACCGAAGGATATTTTGAAACTACCTTTTAACAAGTTTAAAACTATTATAAAAACACTTTACTTAATTACTTGAATGACAAATGGGCATAGTCATTAATCGATCATGCACGGTCTTTTAATGGTCATGTAATTTTTAACATAGTACGTTTAAATAAATACACATAATGGTAACAGAGATTTAAAACAAT